CCCATCAGCAGAGCACATTCCTGAATGGATTCATCCCCAGCTGGGAAAGGTCTCTCCTCCCTGCATTTGAGCTCATGTGCCCATGAGCACACCAACACATTGAGATGTTGAAGCACAACCATGGCTCGTGCACGCTGAAACAAAAGGGTTTCTTTTAAACAAAAAAAACTTCAAACCATGAACTTTTGTTCTCTTGAAATACAGAAAAAAAAGGAATTCTTTTGATGGGGAAATGTACAGGTAAAATCTAATGAAATAACAGTTTATTCTCCTCTGAGCGCCAMTGTTTTTGACAAGAAAAAGAATAACTGAGCAACATGCAGCCCAGAGGATTTCTCYTTTTCCCTAAAGGATGAATTTCTCCCACCTTTTTGTGAGCTTTGCCAGCAGGCTGATCGCTCCGAGGTTTATCCAGGGGGTCCTTGGGGTCTTGTGTCACCCTCTGCCTCCTCGGAATGTGGATAGGAGAGGACAGCTCGATGTCACAGATGTGCTGTGGGGACTCTTCAGGATTGATCTCCTTTTCCACTGCTGCAGCAGTTGGGTTTTCACTGGGCTCCAACTCTCTTCTCTCTTCATGAAGCTCTGCACGTTTTGCTTCTCCATTTCCCCACCCTTCTTTTTCCTGATGCCCATTTTCCCAAGAGATGGAGTTGACTTCCACAGGAGCAGTCACGCTGTTTTGAGACATTTCACAATCAGCATCCATTTCTATGGATTCCACAAGGAAAACATCCACATCGTCCTTATCAGAGTCCACACGCTCTGGAGGCKCTGGCTGCTCAGCACAAGCAGCTTTCACAAAAGGCCTCTCTGTAGTTGTGGGAGGAGGAATATTCTGCTGGCTTGGGGCTGAAGGTGGAATAGCTGCCCAGTTAAAGAGAAAAAGAAGGAATAACAAAGAAATTAGTGATATTTATGCACAGGAACAGGCTGCCCAAAGGGTGGTGGAGTCCCCATGGCAGGAGGGGTTTAAAAGCCTTGCCCATGCTGGGGAATGGTTGGACTCCATAGCCTGGGAGGACTTTCCCAAGCTCAGCAATTCCAGGGTTCTCTGCCTGGAACAAGTTTGCATTCTCCAGAGCAATCCCAATACCTTTTTGCTGCTGCTGCAGTTTCCATTTGACCCGCAGGAAGAACTTCTGGGGGGTTTCCATCACGAGAGGATCTGCAGGGAGCACTGCCTGGGGGTCCATCCCAGGAACCTGAGAGCAAACTGACTCTGGAAAAAAACCAGACAGAAAAAAGAAAAAAA